GTATTGTAAACTATAAAAAGAGCTCCTCCTTCCCCCCTCCACCCACCCCGTGTATGTAGGATCGACTATAGGAACCCCCCTGGGTACTACTGTAAATGAAAGATCTCGGCTACCAATACAGACCAGTTTTTATTTGGCTTTGTATGCGAGTTTATCAAAGAGAGGTTAAACGTACTCCCCGATCAAAGGAGACACACTCTTAATCTTAGTGCATTAAAAATGAATATGACTTCAACTGCAGTGAGGGTATAACATTAATAAGCAACAGATCAATGCTGAACAAACACCAACAAACTAAACACAGGCCTGCAGTGGAGTTGAAAGAAAATCACACACAAATCACCAGCAGCAAAGAAACTGGAAACACTCAGTTGATCTCTGACATACATTTGCCCCAAACAAAACGTGAACAAATGTATGGCTCAGTAGGAAAATGTGAGAAAACAAAAAAGAGTTGGAAAAGACCAAGGTCTCTTTGAGAGGACACTGAAACAGGACCTTGGTGTTGTTGATGCTGTAAGGGAAACACATAACAGTCACATGCACCTCCTGTCCACTCTTATTATATGTATGCATGCTTTCTCTGTGTGTGTATTTCTATATATATATTTATGTACTGTATATACCTTTGTCTTGGCCTGAGAATAACTTGCCCAAATAGGTCACAAGGCAAGCAGTTTATCTGTTTAACATGTACAGAAATCGTCCTACAAATCTGGAGTTCATCTTTGTAGCTGCAATATCCTTAAAAGCTTTCATCCTAACAACAAAAGAATGAATTAAAATCATAAAAATCCAACAAAGACAGAAAGAAACTCTGAAAATGAAGTTGTGCAAACCTACAGTCAAATGACATATTATAATCACCATTATAAAAGCAATTAAATTAGATTCAAAAAGTCCAGATGCAACAGTGTGTGTGAACGCATGCAATCAAACATCCCCCTTTCTGACAACCGGGGGTGTGGTGAGCAGTGAGTGACAGTCAACGGGAATAAAGGTAGAGTGAAAATAATAAACCACACGAGGAAAGAAAATACGAATAGTGTTCACTGATCAAAGTTGTTCGACAATCAAAGACGAGCCGATTTGACAAAGCCTGTGATTGAAGGAGTCAGTTTGATAGCCCTGTGTGAGGATCATTCCTCTGGGAAATCCCTTCCTTAAAAGGAGTTTTAGCCAGGGGACACCTGGATATAGTGTGCAGTGTGCAGTGTGCAGTGTGCGTGTGTGGGGCGGTTACGTATACATACACATCGGCTCTGGCCTCCGTCATTTAGAAAAAGAAACAACAATACACTAAAATGACATTCACACACTTTCAAACTGACTCAGTCGCAGCAACACTACCTCGCCGGTGTTAGAAAAACTGGTCTTGATCACTTGCATTAAATCATGTTTCCATTACTCCCCCCCCACACAGTCATCTGTATACATGAAACTTTGAGAAAAAGGGCCAGAATGACTATGTGATGTTTACGTAGAGGCAAGACCTGTAACAGTTGGTTTGTTCTTTAGATGATGAATGGTTTTTTTCTTCTTTATTTTCTCATACATTACCTTTTAAAATGTTACATAAATGAGACTGAATCAAAACTAGTACCACCCCCCACCCAGTGGATATGGCATTTCTGATCCAAAATCCCAGATCCCGTGTTTGATTTCTTCCCCCTGAAAGCATGCTGCGGCCCGACCGAACTGCTGCCATCTACAAGACCAACTTGCCCACGATGACGCCCACCACAAAGAAGAGCACGATGAGGGCCATCGTGCGGGCGCTCAACCCCTCGTCTTTCTTCATGCCAATTGAGGTGTGCTGAGATGACATCACGTTACTCTTCCTCATCCGCAGACCATCGTCCTCCTGAAACAGGAAGAAAAAAAGCAAGCGGAGTAAGCGGGATTGTAAACTAAAGCCACAATAAGAAGTGAAAAATATTGTCATGATCTGAAACTAAATGAAAAGAATATCCTTTCAGTATTAATAACGATATTGTCTGGCCATTCCAATGTTTGTGTTTTTAGCTAAAAAACTTCCCTATCACTAAAAAGGAGATGGCATGAATTTCCATCAACCTAATAGCAATGGCTTCACAATAACCACAATTGTTTTCATTCTGTTGTCTAGTCTTGTAGTTTACTAACAGTCTGGAAAAATGTTCTTCCTAGTGTCGTAGCAAATAGTATAAAAGTTGATTGCTAAATTTAAGATTTTAGCATTATGGTCATTAAAACTAAAGTAAACAGTTCTCCAAAAATGTATTTTTCAATGTTCCGGATTTATATATGGCTCTCATAAAAACACTAAACTGGTCTAATATTAAAACAAAATAGATAAAAACTTAACATGAAACTAAACTAAAACGATCAAACCAATCTGAAAATAAATAGTGATTAAAAATTAGATTAATAATAACTATATAACCTGAAAAATTGATAGAATAAAAGAAGAGGGAGAAGCGTGGTAGGAATGACGAGGTGAAGAAGAGAAAAGATGACATGCTTAAGAGAGACGGCCATCTTCTCAATCACTCAATTAGATTAAAAAAAGTATTTATCTACAAGCTCAAAGAAATAGGATCTGCTTAAATCTTCATCTGACACAATCCCCAGAGGTCCGCAGAAGGCGCCAGGCTTTAACACACTTCATTTCCCAGCAGCGGGTGGGGGGGGGGGGCTTCTGTTATTTTAATCTCAGCCCACAGGAGCAGCCAACAAGTCGTTCTGCCTCGAAGGAACCTAACGGGAAGGAGGTGGCGGATGTGTGTGTGTGGGTATGACTTATTTTTTAACTAAACCTTTAACAAATCTCAATTTTAACCCATACTTTACTGATGGTTTCACTTGTGATTGATGCGAACTCCAGTTGAATTTGCAAAATTGCCTTGTGGAGCTTTTAGCGCCTGAGGGTCTGCCCACTGATTATGGATCTGAGCAGTTACACTTCACTCTAACTTCAATCTGGAGTTACTGTCTCTATTGCAAAGAACACAGCAAAGGGTGAGGGAACCCCGACTCATTTTGGAACCACCACTCTGTGTGACATCAAGTTTCCACCCTTAATTGCTTATCCTTTGAATGGGAACATCAATCAGTATAAAAAATAGAAATAACCAAATGTGATTCTGGAGTTCAATCAAGGGCTGAGTCCGAATAGTCCATTAGCTTAGGACCTCCCTAAAAGAGTGAATGACCCGAAGTCCCCTCAGT